GGGAAGCTCAGCAGGTGACAACCCCCTGCCTCCTTTCTCCTCCTCATCCCTCCTCTCCTCCAAGCTCCTTTTCCGGCCAGCCTCCCCCAAGGTTGTGCTTTGCTCAAAGCGCAGAATTGTTCTCAATCAGCGGCCATTTCTCGTGAAGCCCTAGCGGGTCGGTACACTGCACCAGAGAGATGTCCCTGGAGCAAAATTCTGGGGACACTCCTCCCTGCGTTGAGAAACAACTACCTGTGAAAGAGCAAAGTTTTCGTTACTCCCAACTATAGGCTCTTAAAAATTCCCAGGTGACATTTGCCAAGCCAGACCCATTGCCAAGCCGGGAGCGTGTCTTGCTCCTAAAACAAGAACATCTTCCCCTCTCCCGATCCCGAGACAGCGCGGCTTCCTGGCTTTTCCAACTTCCTCTTCAACCTCCACAGCTTTTGATATGTGCTCAGATAAGTTGCAAAAAACCACCTTTGTCACGCCCGATCTAACCTCACACTTGAGAAAGCAGCACCTGGCAGCTAGGCAGGGGTGGCTGGAGCCTCTCCAGGTCCTGCCTCCTGCTGTGTGGTAGGGATGCCCAGTGGCTTTTTGACTTAGGAATACAGTGCCCTGCCCCATGCCTTGGGATCTCTCCTGATTTGCATGAGGGTCCAACGGGGATTTTCTGGAGACAAGGTTAGTTAGATATAAAAGGAAGTGGGGAAAATACTGAAGGGCTGGTGGAGTCTTTCCTTCCACTGAGTACAAGCCACTGGACTGGTTGCTGGAGTTAGCCCGCGGTGAGTGAGCCTACTAGTCTTTCTTGCTCAGGTTTTTGGTCTGGTATTTAGCTCTCCTTCTACCACTGTCCAGCGAGAGGTGCAACTCAGACCCACTTGTGTAACTGCTTCCCAATGGCAACACGAGGAGACTTCCAGGTCTTAGGCAGCTGTGACTTGCCCTGTGAACGCCAAGATTTGCATTCAGATAGAAAAAAAAAAAACAACTCCGTGCCCTGGGGCTGTGGCCAGCAGCAGGCTATTTGACCAGATTTTCTGCCAAGGCCATCCATGAATGAATCCCTGAGGATGGCGGGAGGCTGGATTCTCTGAGTAAATCTGGAAATCTAGGAGGTGTAGTGATTTCCATCTTGAGAAAAAGAAAGGAGTGGACATAACAGGTAGCAGGGAAGTAATGTCATGCCCCATCTGGACTTGCGCTCTAAGTCCACAGACAAGGTTAAACCAAATGCAGACTCCCCTTCTAAGTAAGCATCAAGCCCCCGAGGGAGCTGTACAGTATTCCAGCCAGAACTTGGGCGCTTTGCTTTTGTTTGTTTTTTAATAACTAGGGGTCATGTATAAGTCAAGGCCTGCAGACTGACCGTAGACCAGAAATAGTGATGCTTAATGTTCTGAACAACACCGGACTTCTTCATGCCTCCTGAGGAAGGAGGAGAATGAATCTGCTGTAAACCAGGTGCGCTGAGCGCTCTCTGAGACCTGGCGCTGACCTCCACAGTGAGTCCTTGTAACCAGTGGGCAGAAACCCAGAGTGGAATGAGGAGTCACCTTGGAATGAAAGAGTGAGGTGTGAAGGGTGAAGTCGGACAGGCCTGCAGGAGGCAGCATCACGCGCCACACTTTGACACCTTTTCCAATTGCTCTGGACTTTCATCTTCCAGCATAATTCTTGGTTTACTAGCACACCCCAAATTGGGAACTAGGCTAGGTTTCCCACAGAGAGTTTCAGAATTGGCCTGCATCCTTGTTTCAGAACTTGCATGCGTACTGCTTCTCATTAGCTAACTAGGGTGCTTGGGAAAGTTTTGTTTTGTTGTCTTTTAAGGTAAAATTTGAATTCCATACAATAAAGTAAGTTTGGTGTGGAAGGGCTCTGGACACAAATTTTGTTCCTGTCCTAGCCCTCAGCCTTAGTGGTTGGTGAGCATTTCAGCAATACAGATTCAGAAACACAGAAGAAAGTGATTCATATACTTCTCTACAGATCAAGAAGTTTAAACATTCCTTGTTTTGTTATGCTTTGAGACAGGTTCTCACTATATAGCCCAAGCTAACAGTGACTTAAAAAAAAAAAACTTTACCAGTATTTTTTAAAGATTTATTTTTCATTATGTATATTTGGGGGTGGGGGTGTCCATGCATGTGTAGGTACCCAAGGAAGCCAGAAGAGGGCATCAGGTCTCCTGGGAGCTAGAGTTACAGGTGGTTGTGAGCCACCAGGTATGGTTCCCAGAAATCAACTCTGCAAGAGAGGTCCTGGTTCCTCTCCATTGAGCCGTCTCTGCAGTTGGCACTGCACTTTTAAGACTCTCCCCTCCTTCTCTTTCCAGGTTGCATACGTTGCCTTTAGTTTCATTCTGATTCCACAGAGACTAGGGCATGCCCCATTTCCTCCAGAGCAGTCCCACACTGTCCCTATCAGTGGCTATGGGTGAGGTAGCCAGTCTGGGAAGCCACGTGACAAGGCAGGAAAACAGAAACAACCTCCTTACTTGTCTTCCATGATCAACCTTCTGCAGCCTGCCACCCTCCAATGTCTTTTTCTTCTGGGCTCCACTTGAACTTGGTGGGCCAAATACGCCACATCCATTCAGAATTCTGCTTTTTTCTCTCTCATGTCAAAGCTGAGGGGGGGGGGGTGGAGTGGAAGACGTAGGAAATTAATTTCCTTTTAAATTTTTGTTTATTTTTACGTGTATGGGTGTTTTGTCTTCATGTATGTCTGTGCACCATGTGTGTGCAGTGCCCATGGAGGCCTGAAGAGGGCGTTTATCCTCTGGAACTGAGTTACAGGTGATTGTGAGCCATGATGTAGGTGCTGAGAATTGAAGCCAGGTCCTCTGGAAGGGCAGTCAGTGCTCTTAACCACTGAGCCATCTCTCCAGCCCTAGAAATGAAGTTCCAAGACTACTTTCAATCCAAAATGCCCATCTTCGCCACACTAGTTGTTATGTCTCACACTCGGGACAAATGACTAACCGGGGTGCCTATTTAACATATCAAAGTGTATGCTGGCTGGTAGGTTCTCAGCGAGCCTGTATTACTGAGTCATCCTGGCTGGCACACCCCGCCCCCATCCTCTACCTCTACAATCATTGAGCTTTACTTCTGTTCCCCCAGCTTTCCTTCCCTATATAACCCAGCCACTGGGCTATGTGGTCTCTTGGCTCCTGGTTCCTCTCTCTTCCTCCCTCCATCCCCAGTAACATCCCCAGTTCATTCTACTGGCCCAGTTCAGCCTGGACCATTCCAGATGCCTTTGGTTGTTTTTCTCACTCATTTCTACAAAGAACTTTCTCCACCATACCTGGGAGCAGTCATGTCCTCATCTTTTTCATTCTCTAGTCTTTATAGAAGTTGGTCTCACTTTGATTTGAAAAGATCCCTGATATCAAAACATCCCGAGTCCAAAGTTAACACTGAACTTGTTAAACAGTGGTTCATGAAATCATGCAGAGATTTTGGGGGATGTGAGCAATAAATTCTAAATCTACATGAAAAATTACACTCAAAGTAATTGTGTGTGTGTGTGTGTGTGTGTGTGTGTGTAAGAGAGAGAGAGAGAGAGAGAGTATGAATGCTGTATGTGTGTGTAGAGGTTCACTGTTGGGTGTCTTTCTTGTTATTTTCCACCTTAGTTTTTGAGACAGGGTCTCTCATTGAGCCTGGAACTTGTCATTTCCATTAGACTGGATAAAGAGCAAATCCCCAGGATCCACCCATCTCTGGTCCCAGCACTGGACTGGCAGGGTCATGTCTCCATGCTTTGCTTTACTAAGGGTGCTGGGGGTTAAAACTCAGATCCCCATAGTTATACAGTAGGCATTTGGCTCATGGAGCCATCTCTTAGTCTCAGGTGATTGTTCTAAGTGTGCAGGAGGCATTTGGTCCACGGAGCCATGTCTCCAGCCCCAGATAATTGGTTTAAGCTTTGGTTTAAGCAGAAGAGAGGCATAAAGATAAGAATGGGGTTGAGTCAGGAGATAACTGCGATCGAGGGATTTCAAGGCTAATGAAGAAGCAGTTGGGTAGAGGAGGAATTTTATTCACAAGTTACGATGAATGAGAAGATGGGATGACGGAAAGGGCATTGTGGGTATTAAAAGATGGAGGGAAAAGAAAAATAAAGCCCTTCTCCATGACACTGCTCCAGAGACAAAAGCCCCATTGACTCCCAGAGGCTAGATTGATGGCACGAGGAACCCAAGGAAGGCTCCGGTGATTGAAGGAAATTGAACTTATTATTCTAAGAATTCAGGGCAGCTCAAACTTTAAAATCAGAATGAAAAGACCAGACCTCCATGTAACTAAGAGTCACAGCCTGCTGAGGTCAGGAGAGAGGGAGGACAGAAGGGCCTAGAAGAAAAGCCAAGGGCAGAGGGGCCAAGTGCATTTTTAAAAGTGGAAATACAAACTCAGACATTCATCACTAATATCGTCTCCTTGATAGAGTGTTAGCACCTACTAGTTGTCCTTGGTGTCTTTAGGGAGGTCAGAG